ATCATCGTCAGATAGCAATTTTGTAGTTCCAAATATGTATCTGGTTATTAGACTTGAGACACTAATGATGTTTTATATAAATACTCTACTCTTTGATACTGAATTTATGTGTTTGAAAGTTTCAAATCTAGCACAGTCAATTATTGAGAGTGATAGCCAACCTTACGAGAGCAAGTGGGTGTCAATAGAGGATAATCTACTCTCGATATCATAAGAGAAATATTCTATGTATTCTCACTCAGGTAAATCCATGGCTAGAGTTGATCTAATCATGATGAATCTGATAAGGGTGAGATTCAGATTGAGAGAGAATGAGTTCTTTGGGAAAATCTGATTAGAATAAGACTCGGATAGATTTCATATAGGCTTAATAGCATCATGCCTGATATACGATCTATAAGATATTAGATAGATGAGGGACTATAGACACACGATAAATAAGGGCAAACATGTTCAATGGATTAGATTCCCTTGTACCATCTCGGGGCTATGGCGTAGTGACCTAGTACGTACATAGTCGACGAGTTAAGTGAATTATTAAGGATAATAATTCATTGAGTCAGAAGGAGTTCTGATAGGTAAAACTCACAACTAGCTCGGTATTGGGCCTATAGGGTCATACACATATGGTGGACATCATGACGAATAAAGGATTAGACCTGTGATATCTAATAAGCCCTTATTTTAATGGATCCATTAGATGAAACCCAATAAGAGTTTTGAGTGGATATTTGGATAGAGATCCAATATCCAATATGCTAGGGTAATTGGATGAAAATCCAATATCCAATAAAGCAGGATCCATTAAGGTTAAGATGAAGATCTAATATCCAATAAGGTAGGATCCATTAAGGTTAAGATGAAGATCTAATATCTAATTGGACTTGAAGTTCCTAGGCGAGCGAGAGCCCTAAGATGAGTGTTTCATATTCTACTTCATTATTAGAGATCTTGAATTCAATTCGGAGGGCTTCTTCATGCACCTATTTGTTCAGGCCCTTTAGGAGTCTAACACCATCTCTTTCTAAGGTGATGGAGCCATCCACGAATAGCATCCATGCTGAGGGGGTGTAATTGTCAGCTTCTGACGAGGGAGGTAGCTCCGATATAAAATCGGCTAACGCTTAGGCCTTAATAGTAGTCCTTGGTATATATCGAATGTCAAACTCACCAAGGTCTATTAACCATCTCAATAGTTGTCCTGAGATATTAAACCGAGAAAGAATCTATTTGAGTGGTTGGATTGAAAATAGGAGCAGAGATTCCTTGGTACAAACGCAAACCTCTTGATAGGCGGGTATCTTTTTTAAGCTGATTATAACATGACTAACATAGTATATAAGCTTTTAAACTCCCAAGTCATCCCAAACTAACACCGAGGTGATAATTGAATCGATGGCATTGAGGTAAAGACTTAGAGTTTTGTCCAAGATAGAGGAGTCTCATAGTAATTGGGCAAGATGATGCTTCAATTTTTTGAAAGCCTCATAACACTCCTCGATCTATATGAAGTTTTTGTTAGGAAACCTTAGAGAGCATCACATGCGTAGTTGAAAATAAAAATAAAAATTATTTCCAAAATATATCTTATTGGATCGTCGTGCGACAATCGAGAGTGTAAAACTCGAAACGACAAAATTGCATCAAGTGGTTAAGACATTCTCACCTGAGAGATTGTCTATCCCCTAAATCATAAATCTTGGTCCATGAGACAAAAGAGCTCTCGTAAACTCCTCTCTAACAATAATCTACATAGCGGATGTAGCGACGATGCACCTTCTTACTCAGCGGGTTCTCTCCACGTGATCACGCACCACCATGTAGTAGTAGTCAAGAGAGGGGCCGACCCTCTTGCTATCCTCTCACACTATGGAGGGGCTCACAGCTGAGAGAAAGATGGGGAGGAGGAGATAGGAGGCCGACAACTATGTGGTCTAGCTTATGACTCATGAAGCCCTAACTCTTATTTATAGAGAGCTCCTACTGCTAACATTAATGGATCTACCTTAATGGGTATTGGATCATCATCTAATAACCACTAGCTTAATGGATATTGGATCTCTATCCAATAACCATCCTAAACTCTATTGGATCTCACCCAATAGATCTATTAAAATAGGGGCTTATTGGATATCCCATATCTAATCTCCTATTCATCGTGTTGTCCATCATATGTATGCGACCCTCTAAACCCAATACCGAGTTGGTTATGAGTTGCACCCGTCAGAATCTCCTTCTGACTTAGTGAATTATTATCCCCATAATAATTTACTCAACTCATTGACTATGGACATACTAGGCCACTACGCATAGTTCTTAGATGGTACAAGAGATATAATCCATTAAACATATCTACCCTTAGTTGTCGTATATATATAGTCCCTTATCCATCTAATATCTCAAAGACTATATATCGAGCATAGTACGATTAAACCCATACGAAATTTATCAGAGTCTTTCTCTTATCATATTTTCCCAAAAAACTCTTTCTCTCTCAACCCGAGTGACCTTGACTAGAGATTTACCTAAGTAAGAATACACATTCCTCTCATGATACCGAGTGTGGATGATCATTTTTTGACACTCAATTGCTTTTGTAAGATTGGCTATCATTCCTAATGATCATATGTATTAGATTTAGAACTTTTAGACCTATAAGTTTGATATCAAAGAACAAAGACTTAAATAAAATATCATTAGTATCTTAAGTCTAAAAACTAGATATATAATTGGGACTAAAGAATTACTATCTAACGATGATGTATCATTAACCATCCAGCATTTTGTAAGCAGATCATTCAGTAAACTCATTCTCTAATGAGCACCTATACTATATCCCTAATATCCTCACATAAGTAGCTATGAAACCAATTGCCCCCATTATATGGATGGATATATAGTAAACCAGTATATCCAGTTACCTCGATGTCCTTCTCGAGTAACCCCCATTATATGGATGGATATATAGTAAACCTATGACAATGAATATTTAGAATCTATGCTTAAAGGCGAATTAGTCTCATTATCATGATCTCATCATGATTCAATTTCCATTGCACGGATCCAAAAATATCATAATATATTCATCATATAATATAAAGTGAGAAAATATCATTATTAATATTAATCGAAAGAGATTATGTAACATATCACATGTGTCATCACTCATGTAATTGGCTTGCAGTGCACTTGTAACTAGCAATCTTTTAGGTTCTTTAATACCCAAAAGAAATATAAGCACTTATCACCTGATTGGGATAGATCGGTTGAGTGTTGCTATTCGTCTTATTAATTATTTGACTTTCCTTACCGACCAAGGTGGGCACATTTTTAGTATGGCTTGAACTTTCTCGGGATTTGCATCTATTCCTCTTCAGTGAATAATGAATCCAAGGAACTTTCCTGAGCTGACTCTGAAAGTGCATTTGGTTAAATTGATGTGCATGTTGAACTTCTTTAGAACTTGAAATGTCGGCTAAATCTATTAAAGTGAGTTAATCATTCTACTTTTGACAATCATGTCATCTACATTTACTTTATATTTCTCTCGATTTAGTATTTAAATATTTTGTTCACTATCCTTTGATAGGTTACTCCTGTATTTTTCAACTCAAATGACATATCTTGGTAGCAATATATGTCTCTCAATGAAAAAGGAAATAAGTTCTCAATCTTCTAGTATCATCTTTATTTAGTTATATCCCAAGAATACATTCACAAAGGTGAGGAGCTCATGACCCAAGATAGTGTGAACCAAATGATCAATACGATGAAGATAATAATTATCCTTTGGGTATACTTTATTGAGGTCAATATAATCAACACATATTCTCTAGCTTCTATTAGACTTTTTAATTAGTATAAAATTAGTGAACCACCGGGGGTACTTTACCTCGGTGATAAATTATGCTCCCAATAGCTTGTCTACCTCTTTGTTGATTAAGGAGCAAATTTGTAAAGCTTTTGTTTCACTGGTCGTGTCTTAGGAGAAATATTTAGGTGGTGCTAGGCCACATCTGGATTGATTCTCGATATATCTTTTGACGATCATACGAACACCTCAGTATTCTCCTTAAGGAAGTTAATGAGTTATCCTCATTTCTCTTTAGGAAGTATCGCCTCAACCTTGATAGCTTTATCGGGATGGGCTTTGTCCATGGGTGCCTCAATTAGTGATTTCACTGGCTTTAGGTGTGGGAGGGATTTGGCAAAACTTCGAGGATCCATAGACGGTGTCTCAGATTGTGCCTTTTTTGATAGGAAGACCACTATAAGGTAGCACTGATATGATTCTCGTGTTGCTTATCAACTCTCCACTTTTGACCCTCGTCAGGAACTTCATCATCATGTGATAGGTTAACACCACTACCTTCCACTGATTTAGCATTAATCATTCGATAATTATGCTATATGTTGAGGGGATATCGACCGTCATGAATCTAGTAGTCACCATTTTAGAGCGTGACTCATCTCGAAACGTAACATTCATAACCCCGATAAAAAAGATTGAAGCCGTTAAAACATTCCATCAGCCAAAAAAAGTTATATAAGTAAAATCGTTAATCGAGGTCCCGAGCTTCATTTATCTTCCTCTCAAAGCATATTTTACATGCATCGTAATTAATTGGCCTAACAGCCGCTTTCATGGGGTGTAGGCCACACAACAGCAAGCAATGAGGTACGAAATTAAGGTTTTAGTCCAAATAAAGTTGGCCATGGACAGTATGCTTTGTGGTTGATTTGTGCTTGCAGTCAGGCCCTGAAACCTGTGACAACAGATGATCTCGACAAAGGGCCAAATGAGAGAGAGTCAGTAGATAACAGATGAATCAATCAAAATAAGAGGGCAAGATGCCATCCATATGTAAGGCAGAAAGCCCAGGAGGTGGATGGATATCCCTCTCCCATTGGTCAGCAATCTATCCTTCTTGCGTTCTCAGATTTCCTTCAGATTTGGTGGCTCCCACTCTCTCTCACACAAACTGCAGTATAACACAACTACGCCACACAACCAGCGACAGAGGAACGCCAAGGCCCTCATCATCATCAAGCACAGCAACCCAGTTGTCTCAGGCGGTGTTTCTTTCCCTTGTAAGCCAAGAGCAATGGTCATGGCCTCCACCTCTGCTGCAGTGCTCCAAGGCATCTCCACCCCTTTCCTCTCGGGCTCCAGGGCCGCCCGGAGTCTTCTGAACGCCACCGCCGGCGGCAGGGCTTCCTCAGCAGCAGCAGGTTCTCCGAGGAGGCTCCTTGTCGTCACCGCCGCCGCCCCGAAGAAGTCCTGGATCCCGGCGGTCAAGGGCGGTGGCAACTTCATCGACCCGGAATGGCTTGATGGCTCGTAAGTCCCTCGTTCTCTTCTCTGGCAGTAGCAACGAGCGCTACAACTCGTTGTCGGGGTTTACTGACGTCCGATCTCTCCTCGCTGCCCCGTGCAGGCTCCCGGGTGACTACGGGTTCGACCCGCTTGGCCTCGGCAAGGACCCGGCCTTCCTGAGGTGGTACCGGGAAGCTGAGCTGATCCACGGCCGCTGGGCGATGACGGCGGTGGTCGGCATCTTCGTCGGCCAGGCGTGGAGCGGCGTGCCCTGGTTCGAAGCTGGCGCCGACCCCGGCGCCATCGCGCCCTTCTCCTTCGGCTCGCTCCTCGGCACCCAACTCCTCCTCATGGGGTGGGTGGAGTCGAAGCGCTGGGTCGACTTCTTCAACCCGGAGTCGCAGTCCGTCGAGTGGGCCACCCCGTGGTCCCGCACCGCCGAGAACTTCGCCAACGCCACCGGCGACCAGGGTTACCCGGGCGGCAAGTTCTTCGACCCCCTGGGCTTCGCCGGCACCTTGCAGGACGGCGTGTACGTGCCGGATGTGGAGAAGCTGGAGCGGCTGAAGTTGGCGGAGATCAAGCATGCCAGGATCGCCATGCTGGCCATGCTCATCTTCTACTTCGAGGCCGGCCAGGGCAAGACTCCACTTGGAGCGCTGGGCTTGTAAACATCCCCATATACCTTCCTTCTGCTTTGCTTTTCCTTCTTGCACTTGTCGGCGCTGTAAAGTCGTCCTTCTGTATGTGGTGGCATTAGTGGTGGGCTTCTTCCTCGGATCAACATCTTTGTGTGTGTGTGGCTAAACTTCAATGGGCTTTCTGCCAGTGACTGCTATCCTTCACAACCTACTGAAATGATACTTTGTAGCTCCATGTCCACCACAGCTAGAGAAGTCACAGAAAGCTTCTGCAGTCTCTGGTTGATTCCCTCCGTCCATTCTCATAAAGAAGACCATGATCACTTCTCCTCCCTACAATCTCTGATAACACAACCAAACCCAAGCGGCTTCTCAATCAAATATGGCTGCTCCAATGTTGTCTTCATTACAGGATGTGGTGGCCCGACTGTTTAAGCTTGTAGTCTGGTCAATTTTTAAGGCAGAGAGAGGAGAACTGAATCAGAGTAATTAGGCCATGAGCAGTAGAGAAGAGCACGGGAAGAACTCCCAACAAGAATCTATTCATATTCCTAAAAGACATCGAAGAGGTGGTAACCAAGAATTCTACTGGCACCTCCTGAAGTAAAGCCTGAATACCAAAAATTGATATGACTTCGTTAAAGAAAAAAAATCAAGAGTTCTATATATTGTGTCGGGAAAAAAACCCGTTGAAGCGGAATATTTTTTTCTCTCTTTGTGTATTAAAATGGGTTCCTTATCAAAATACCAAATTGATATCTAAATAAAAATATCAACCAGCACAGCATAAACAATAGAGCAAAAAATCAATCACACAGTGTGACCAAATCTTTTTAACGTAGAAAACTCAATGTGAGAAAAACCACGGGACCGTAGTTCATCTCAAACTTTCACTATCAATAGTAATAATAATATGTTTACAGTAGGTTTTCTCTAGAATAACTAGAGGATCAGAATAACATCAAGATCATAGATCTTGGCTCAAGAATAACATATCTTCATCACATAGGGTGGATCTTCTATTAAGAGAATTCTAGGTCTCACAAAGTGGATATAGCAGGAAAGTACCTTAGAGAGGGTAAACTGTAGATCAACACTATTAGAATTGTAGAGTTTGCTGCAAGGATTCTCCATATAAAATTTGGGCCAAAACTAACAACGTTTGGCCACCGATCGTCAAGCAAAAACCTCATAAACCTAATATTTCTCTCTCCTTCTCTCTCCTCTTTTCTCTCTATGCGCCGTGCTTGCTGCACGCTCTAATTTTTGCTACCCTCACCTTTTGCTCTTTCTTTCAATTAGTGATTTGGGCTCAATAGGCCCAATTGTCTAAGCCCACATATGGGCTGGACCCAACAATTCTCCCCCTCCAGCTCATATGGTGGGCTGTACCAAGCCCGCTCTTCGCCTACATCCTTTAAGCTTCTCCTTAGGCAAAGACTTTGTCAACATATCTGATTCATTCTCTATTAGTATGCACTTTTTCCAACTATAATTCTTTCATCTCAAGCACATCACGAATCCAGTGATATCTCACATCAATATGCTTGGATCTAGAATAGTATGTTGAATTCTTGGAGAGGTGAATGACACTCTGACTATCACAGTAAATAGTATATCCTTCCTATTTCAAGCCCAATTCCTATAGAAACATTTTCATCCATAAAGATTCCTTGCAGGCTTCAGTAATTGCTATGTATTCTGCTTCTGTGATTGATAGAGCAACACACTTCTATAACTTAGACTGCCAATAGACTACTCCTGCAAATGTCATCAAGAATCCCGAAGTGGACTTTCTGGAATTAGTATCACCTGCCATGTCTGCATCTGTGTAACCTTCTAACACGAGTTCATCACTGCCAAAATATAAATATAACCTGGAAGTACCTCTTATATATCTTAATATCCATTTTACTGTTGCTCAATATTCCTTTCCAGGATTAGAGAGAAATCGACTGACAACTCCAACTGCATGAGATATATCTAGCCTAATACAAATCATAGCATACATCAAACTGCCTACTGCAGATGAGTAAGGCACTTTGGACATTTCTTCTTTTTCTTTCTTACTTGTAGGGCATTGTTTCGAACGAAGCTTGAAATGACCTGCAAGTGAAGAACAAACTGCTTTGGCTTTATTCATGTTGAATCTTTCAAGAACCTTTTCAATGTAAGTCTCCTGAGATAGCCAAATCTTCTTTTTTTTCCTATCACGAAGAATCTTCATGCTAAGTATTTGTTTCACTGATCCCAAGTCTTTTATAGCAAAAGACTTAGCTCTCTTTTAAGCTTTCTAATTTTTCTAACATCATGGCCAACAATCAGCATATCATCAACATATAATAGTAAAATAATAAAATCATCATCTGAAAATTTTTTCATAAACACACAATGATCAGATGTGGTTCTATCATACCCTTGGCTCATCATAAAGGAATCAAACTTCTTATACCACTGTCTAGGTGCCTGTTTGAGTCCATATAAGCTTTTCCTAAGCTTACACACCATATTTTCTTTTCCCTTGACTTTGAAACCTTCTGATTGCTCCATGTAAATTTCTTCTTCTAAGTCACCATGAAGAAATGATGTTTTTACATCAAGTTGCTCAACTTCTAAATTCAAGCGGGCAGCTAAACCAAGAATAACTCGGATAGAAGATATTTTCACAATTGGAGAAAATATTTCTTCAAAGTCAATACCTTTCTTTTCACTGAATCCTTTCACAACTAGTCGTGCCTTGTATCTTTATTGTGAGCTATTGTTTTCAGTCTTCAATTTATAAACTCACTTATTCTTGAGAGCTTTCTTCTCTTTAGGCAATTTTACCAAGTCATAGGTGTGGTTCTCAAGCAAAGATCTCATCTCTTCTTGCATGGCTTTAACCCACTCATTCTTATTCTCATGTAGAATAGCTTCTTGGTAAGTTTCTGGCTCTCCCCCGTCAATAAGCATAACATACTCATGTGGAGGATATCTGGTAGATGGTTATCGCTCTTTAGTGAATCTTCTCAATGGAATCTCAACTGGTGGTGGAGGTGCATATTTAGTTGGTTCGGCATCATCAACTGTAGGTGTATCATCACTGGTATTCTCACCATAATCTTATTGTTCATCTCCCCCATGATCATCATGAACTGTAGGTGAAGGAACTGCACCCAAACTCCAAGGAATATAAACAGAGGTTTCTTGCTTCTTAATATTATCACCATCATCAAACAATTGATCTTCAAGAAATACAACATCTCTGCTTCTAATAATCTTCTTGTTCACTGGATCCCATAATATGTACCCAAACTCTTCATGACCATATCCCAAGAAGATACATGCTTTTGCTTTACTATCAAGCTTGGACCTCTCATCTTTAGGAATATGAACAAATGCTTTACACCCAAAGACTCTTAAGTGATTATAAGATATATCTTTTCCTCTCCATACTCTCTCTGGAATATACCTTTAAGAGGAACCGCTGGAGAAAGATTTATCAAATCAATTGTAGTTCTCATAGCCTCCCCCAAAATGACTTTGGTAACTTGGCATGGGAAAGCATACACCTAATCCTTTCTTCAATGGTTCTGTTCATCCTTTCTATCACACCGTTCTGTTGAGGAGTTTTAGGAACTATTTTCTCAAGTCTAATACCATAGAACCTGCAATAATTCTCAAAAGGATCCTTGTACTCGCCACTATTATCTGATTGAATACACTTTAGTTTTCTGCCAGTCTCTCTTTCAACACTAACATGAAACTCCTTGAAAACATCGAGTATCTGGTCTTTATATTTCAAAGCAAAAGCCCACACTTTTCTAGAATGGTCATCATTAAAAGTAACAAAATAAATAGCACCTCCAAGAGTTCTAGTTTGCATAATACAAACATCAGTATGAACTAAATCAATAACATCTAATCTTCTAGATGATGGATATGTATGAAATGCAACTCTATGTGTTTTTGCAACTAAGCAATGATCACAAGATTTAAGAGATGTACCTTGCAACTCTGGTAAGAACTGCTTTCTAGTAAGAGTTTGAAGTCTCTTCTCGCTGATATGTCCAAGCCTCTTGTGCCAAAGATCTATACTTTCACCTTTTTGAATTGCATTAATCTCTCCTTTGTGTAGCTTAGCTTCCATGACATAAAAAGAGTTAAGTTTCTTTCCTCTTGCCACAATCAGATAACCTTTAGTGAGTTTTCATTTGCTTTCACCAAAATAGTGTGCAAAGCTCTTATCATCAAGTCTACCTGTAGATATCAAGTTAAGACGAATATCTGGAACATGCCTTACATCTTTGAGTATCAATTTGCTTCCAATACTAGTCTCCAAGCAAATATCTCCAATACCCATAATCTTAGATGTACTACTGTTTCCCATTCTGACATTACCAAAATCACCAGCAGTGTAAGATCTAAAGAAATCACCATGAGAAGTAACATGAAATGAAGCACCAGAGTCAATTACCTAGTTATTGTCCTGAGCTACAAGACTGACACAACTGTCATCACAAACAATAGTGATATTACTTTCAGTAGCAACTGTATTGATCTCTTTCTCATTTTTCTTCATTTCATTCTGTTCTCGCTTCCAAAACCTATGACTTGGCCTGTTACAGTGAAAACATTTGATATCTCTTCTAGACTTGGATCTTCCTCTATAACCATGTGGATTTCTGCTATGACTTCTTCCACGTCTTTCTTGTTTTTCAGTAACAAATGCCCCAGAAGAAGATTCACCCTATTCTTTCCTTCTGACATCTTCATTTAGCAAATTATCTTTAACCATATCTATAGTTAGAGCTCCCTCTGGCGTTGAGTTGCAAATAGTCACCACATACGTTTCCCAACTTTCTATTAAAGAGTTGAGAAGTAATAATCCTTGCATCTCATCATCTATATTCATTTTCATAGCAACCAACTTGTTTGCAAGACTCTGAAATAGGCTTATGTGTTCAACAATGTTACCACTATCTTTATACTTCAAATTTACAAGTCTTCTGAGGAGAGAAATTCTATTTCTCACTATCTTTTCGCAAAGAGGTTTTCTAACCTTTGCCAAACAACATCAGCTCTAGTTTCATTAGAAATATGCTCATGTAAGTTTATATCTATCCATCTTCTATATATATATATATATATAGAGAGAGAGAGAGAGAGAGAGAGAGAGAGAGAGAGAACATTGCAAATTGTATCACG